ATACAAACAATCATATAAACAAACAAAAAACCCCTGTTGATGTATTTGCCTTCAAAAATACCCATACACAAACAGAAAATCTAAAAAAAAAAAAATTAACAGAAATGAAACAAGTATGAAAGTGCAAACAAAAACAGAGAGAAGAAAAAAAAACTAAAATAAAAAAAGCAAAAAATAAAAAACTTGCTCTGTCATTGTTTCTGTAACTTCTGGTCCTTTTTGGCTGCCACTGCATTAAGGAGTGGCTCCAGCCTCCAGCCTGTCTCCTCCACTCCCAGCACAGGCTGATAGGGTTGACCTCCCATGTGGGTCAGATGCCCCCATGGACTACTGTGAGAGAAGGATGGATCAGATAAGGACTCATCCAACTCTTCTGCTGCTGCCATTCCTGTCAACTATCCCACTGACATATCTTTGCCTGTTCCAGCATGGGGGAGGGGTGTCTGTCTCACTGAGTTCGGTGAAGGGCTAGCCTCTGGGCCCCAGTTTGGATGCTGGACAGAATTGGGCAGGGGAATGCAGGTCTCTGCCCAGTCCTGGGACAGAGAAGATGGTGCCAGTTGACATCTCACTGGTGAAGGGCTCTGTTCTAGATTTCCACACCCTGCTTTCCCCATGGTTCTTGGGGTTTGTGCCTGGTTTTCTACTAAAAGTGATGGTGTGGGCTGGGTGTCAGGTGGTGAGGAGTAGCTGTTCTCTGCTGCCTCTTCTCAAGAGAGCCCTGGAAATGGCAGATGATCCTGTGTGCCAGGGGCTCCAATCTCAGGGTGGTGGTGGGTTGTAGTCACCTCTGGAGGAGAACCCAGTGTCCCCCAAGTCTCCCCTCAGATGAACTTTTGCTCACCCACCGGCACACACCCACTCACACAGAGAGTGTTTATGGATACTTGCTTTCGCGTAGAGCTCACACTCTGACCTGTTCTGTCGCCATCTTGCCTCCAACCAGCTCTTTTTATTTAAAGGCATGCCACTGTAATCTAGAAACTTTTACAGGACAAACAAATGGAAAGAAGCAAAAAGAATGGCACACAGGATTGTCAATGGTAAAGACCAAAAAGCAGTTGGTGAGCATAAATAGGAAATAGACAAGGAGGCAAAGAGATCTTTTAAGTTGTTTTCCTCTATTTAGAAAGGAGAATGTTTTATTTCCCTGGATCATCAAGTGACTCAATCCTTGGTTTTGTGTTTCTCTGTTTCTGAAGGGAACTAGAAACTGATGGTGATGGCTTGTAGCCAATTCTTCCTTCTCCTCTTATAGTCTATTGTGTCTCAGACCTACCATAGGGGAAATTTTCTAGGGCTTTATCCTGTTTCTCAATGTTTATTTCATCATCAGTTATAGCTTTAACTATCTGATTACTTAAAAATTCCATTCAGTTCAATCCCATTGCTTAGAGTTTTTATGGAAGCCCAATTATATAGGAATGTTTGATTAAATCTTGGGTCATTGTACTCAATCTCCAGCTCCTTTTATATCCCTAAAGAGGTGGGACCTTAATCATATAATTGATTTCTCTGGCAACCAGTTCCCATTCTGAAACTATCTAGGGGATGAGCAAGAGTCACCTCATGTGTTTACAGGCATGGCTGAGAAAGTCTTGTTATAAATAATAAAAAATCCTGCGCCTTTGGGAGGCTGAGGTGAGTGGATTGCCTGAGCCCGCGGGTTCGAGACCCGCCTGGGCAGGCGAGACCTCATCTCTACAATAAAATCAAAAAGTCAACCTGGCGTGGTTGCGGGCGCCTGTAGTTCCAGCTACTCGGAAGGCTGAGGCGGAAGGATCGCCAGAGCCCAGCAGGTTGAGGCTGCGGTGGCCGAGAGCGGCCACTGCTCTCCAGTCTGGGTGACAGAGTGAGACTCCAACTCAAAAAAAAAAAATAGTAAATGCTTTTTTCCCTTCATTTGTTTACGTATTTATTTTAATGTACAGCATGCTGACTGTAGTTAAATTTTTTTCCTTTCCTCTTTATTCCTCTGGAGCTATTTCAGGAACTGGGGACAAAAATCAAATAGATAAAAGATGCTCCTATCATTCCCGTCACCCAGGGAGTTTTAAGGGTTTTAGGAACTTTGTGCTGGACAAAAAACAAATACATATTTCTTATCTTACAATATCAACAAGTTCAGTATTCATATATTCATAGTAGGTTTTCTTGTATTCAAGACTACTTAATTGAGAATGTGGAGATGTTTGTGGTATTAATAGAGAGAATTGTCTAGATTTTAGAAGCTGTGAGTGAGGAAGAATCTCTAAGCCCCTGAGTGATAACATTGAAGGAATCCAAAATCTGCTTCTCTAAGATCGTTGAGATGAAGAAGCTTAAAATGTAGGATACTCTGCCTCTCTCTTTGTTTGCCTGATGGCAGGACAGCAATTTTCAAAGACAAAGGATTTCCTGTCCTCCTCTCTGGTTTTCCCACCTAAAGTCAGGCCCCTTTACAGCGCTTGCTTCTCCACTCAAGGACAGTGGTGCCAGAGAACCCAAGAGCAGACTTTACTCTTCCCATACATTTACCTTCCTGTATTTTCTCTCCTTTTGGAACCTTGGAGATACTCTCTTCTTTGTTTTTCACCATCAACCTAAAGGGAGAAGCTGAAGCAAATAATATAGTTTATTTGGGACAAGGTTGTGGATAGCTACCTGGGAAAACACTTCCATTTGCCTTTGGATGCGTTCCAGAGCACAGAGGAGAGACTCAACTTTTTAGAGAAAAAAAGGAGGAATCAGAAAGGGGGAGGATTAAAAAAGTTGTTTGTTAGGAATTCTCATTGGTTTACAGAAACAACATTGATAAGTGATTGTTTATAAAGAGGGTACCCCAAAAAACCCAGAATTATTTTTGGAAAGTGGGCCTCCTGTAGTACAGCCTTCCCCTACTAGGTAAATGTTCTAGAACCCATCAGCATCAGTGTATCAGTTGGTGTTGTTGTGAGAGGCTGCATTTAGTTCAGTGAATTTCTTTGGAGGTTCTTTCAACACATTTGCCCATTTCCTTATGGGTGATTTACAAGTGCATCTGCCCACACTGTGCTGAGTGTTCAACGGTTTTGGCCCAAAATGTCACGACTCCTATGCCCCACCCTCCCTATTCATCTGGTCTCACCCAGAACGACTTTTTGGGTTGTTGTTTCCCCAGATGAAAAAAGTCCTCAAAGGAAAGCGTTTTGCTGAGGTGAAAGGGGTGAAACAAAAAGGGCCGAAGCACTAAAAAGCATCAAAACGGATGAGCTCGAAAACTGTTTTGAGAAGTGGAAGAAGCATCTCGATAGGTATATTCATCAAACGGAGAGCACTTTGACGGTGACTGAAGTCTAAACATATAAGAATAAATACACGATTGCTTATAAATAAATCGTGTTTTTTTGGATCCCTTAAAATACACTGTGGTGCTATAGGGTTCATCTTATGACGTCAGTTAGTCTAGAACCCACATGGCAGGTGGCTTCAAGAGGTAATTATTTAGCTCAAAGGGAAAGTGAGACATGACTTCTGTCACGTTTTTAAGTTTTATTTATTTACTTTAGAGTTGTGTGTACAAGTGAAGGTTTTCTACACAAGTAGGCTGCATGCAGGTAAAGTCTGGGCTGCTAGCTAGTCCTCTCTCCCTTTGGTAGTGGACCAGGTACCCTTTGTGTTGCCATGTGTACCCCTCCCTCCTCCCTCCCTCCCCTGGCAGTGCCCAGCATCTGCCAATCTCATTCTTGAGCTAGTGTGACTAGTGTTTAGGGCCTGCTTACGAGTTACCAGTTGTTTCTGTGATGGTTCACTTAGTATGATGAGCTTCACCTGCATCCAACTCACTGTGCAGGCCACGATTTTGTTCTTTATGGCTGTATTGTATTCCTTCATGTATATATGCAACACTTTATTTACCCAGTCCACTTTCAATAGGCATCTGGGTTGGTTCCATGTTTATGCTAGTGAGAATATTATGGCAATAAACATGCATGTGGCTCCTGTCACATTTTAATGCCTCTCTGGGCCTGATAATTTAAAGAGGCTCACATTCCTCAGATAAAAAGTCTTTTTCTTTCTCACCCCTGCATAAGATGTATGACACTTTGTTAAAACATTACTTAAGTAAGGCCCCCATGTCAATACATTGAGAGAGAAATACTTTTGAACTGAGTTATCTCTGGAGTGGTAGGTACAGCACACATGAACAAACTGCTGGTTTTTCTCTTGTTACTCTGACTTTTGTTTTCAGAAGAGTGTCTCTGCTAACAACCTATGAGGAAGAGAAAAGAAAAGAAATTATATTTTCACCCCATAACATAGAATTCATAAAGCCTTTTCTCTGATTTTATATCATTTCAGGTTCCCTAAAGGGAAATTATAAAATGTTACTAAACTGCTAATATTAGTCTTGATACAACAAGAATGTTCCATCACCTTTGCAGATAGATTCCAGAATGATCCATTTAACAATCACATTCCTGGACAATGTTCATGGGTTTTATATTATTTACTATATTACCCTTTATATTTAAGCTGTATCCATTCAACCAAACTTTCACTTACTTCCTAGGACACTGTTCAACACATGGATTAAAGCTTGCATAAAATAAGTAACAAATATAAAGTTTAGTTAGGGACCACTTAATTTAACCAAGGCCTTCAAATACATTTCCTTTTAGGCCACATAACATTTCTTCCTTTGCTTGCCAGAATGAATAGAAATCAGAGAGTGAAATTTTATATTAGGAAATGGAGAAATAGTCTGAGTCTTCTTTTCAAACTTCTCGTGAACAGTTTTCAGTGTGTTTCTCAATTCCTCTTTTGTTTTTTTCTTGTGTCTTGAAATCACTGGAAACTTTAGTCGAGCACGTGACTTATTCTTTGGAGGTACACTTGATATTGGAAATCTTTTCGTCCTATCAGAGTGTGTAGCAGTTTGTCTCTGAGCTCTGGCTTCTTCGAGTGAAGCTCTGAGCAACATCTTCAGGGAGAGAGACCTAGGAGGTTCCTGGACCTTCTGCATACAGGGAGCTCACATAATGGTGCGAGAAGGACAACCTCAAGGTAGAGGTGAGCATTCTGCTTCTCAGTTGCAGAGAGGAAGGTAGAAAAGTATGGTGAGACGGTGAGAGTCACCTGGAGAGATGAGGCAAGCAACAAACAGGTTGAAGAGCTCATGGTTGGACCAATACAGCAGACTCATAAGAATATGAAAGAAAGTGTAATGCCTCAGGGCCAGAAGCACTTCAAAGAATAAGAAAACTTTTTTTGGGGGGGGCGGGGAAGAGTGTTTAGGGAGACAGAGGAGATTTACATGGTAGAATGTAAACAACTAAATAATTAGTTATTAGATATCTGTTCTTAAAAGTCCTCTGACTATTTTTGAAATTCAGACAACAGTATTCTTTCAAATTGCCCTGATTCACATGTTGTATTCTCTTTTCTCATTTTGTCTTTTAAAGAAGAAGAAAATAATCCTCCCATTTTTTTTGAGGATTTTGTTTTTATTTATTTTTTATTTTATAATCAATATTTTTTATTTTGACATTGTGGGGTACAGTTAAAGGTTAGGTTTACAAATATGCTTCGTTCAGGCACCCTTGTTGATAAGTGGTGTCTCCCCGAATCCTCCCATTTTTATGCATGAAAATCTGACTTTAGCTTCAAACCTTTGCATATCCCTGAATAGTTTTTTTTTTTAAAGTCTGGGTCTCTGTCACCCAGGCTGGAGTGCAGTGGCATGATCATGGCTCGCCACACCCTGGACCTGCTGGGCTCAGGTAATCCTTCCAAGTAGCTAGGACTACAGGTGCACACCACCATGCTTGACTAATTTTTCGATTTTTTGTAGAGATGAGGTCTTGCTATGTTGCCCAGGTTGGTCTCAAACTCCTGGGCTCAAGCAATCCTCTCACTTTGGTCTTCTAAAATGTTGGAATTACCGGCATGAGCCACAGCACCTAGCTGATGAATAGTAATTTTTATTAAAAAAAACTTTGTGGATATGTAACAGTTGTACATATTTATGGGGTACCAGTGATTTTTGATGCTAGCATATAAAGTGTAATGATCAAATCTGAGTAATTGGGATATCCATCATCTCAAACATTAATCATTTATTTGTTTTGGGACCATTCCCCATTCCAAATCTACTTTTCTAGCTATTTTGAAAAAACATACAATAAATTATTGTTAACATACAATAAATTATTAGTTGCTCTATGATACTAAGGGTGCTAGACCTTATTCCTTTTAACTAACTGTATTTTTTTGTATCAATTGACCGACACCTCTTTTTGCTCCCTCCCCCCTACCCTTCCCAGTTTGGTTATCACCATTCTATTCACTAACACCATGAGACAGTGATTTTTTTTTTTACCTCCCACATATGAGTGAGAATGTGCAGCGTTTGTCTTTCTGTGCCTGGGTTATGTCATCTAACACAATGTCTATATTGTTGCAAATGACAGAATTTTTTTATGGTGCAATAATATTCCATTATGTATATTATACCTCATTTTTCTTTATTCAGTTATCTATTGATGAACACTGAGGTTGATTGCATATCTTGGCTATTGTGAATAGTGCTGCAATAAACATGGACGTGCAGATATTTCTTTGATATACTGAAGAAATAAAATATTAATATAGGAGTATGAGAAGTGTGAGATAAAAGTGACGTTTTGAGAAAGATATACAATCAATGAAAGCATGTAATATTTAAGGAGAAAGAACAAAGAAATGGAAATTTCAGTTGATTGAGTGTGGGTTTTGTCCAAATTGTTTTGAGCTTCAGAGCTGTTACTTGGTTATTTATTCTGAGGGGGTTTGTAAACTCTTCTTGTTTTAAATTTTTAATTACTCTGAGGTTCTTTGTCTGGTTTCTTCATTGCTCGAAGTGTCCTGGGAATTCTGGCTTCCTGGCCCCCTGCTAACTGAATTTGTCTTGCTACTTTGACAGAGAAAGGAAGCTGCTGGTTTCTGAAACTCTGCTCTGTTGTGGTGATTTCCATTGCACTCCTCAGTGCGTGCTTCATTGTGAGTTGTGTGGGTAAGTCCTCACTGAAGTGGCATTTCCCTTGATCTCTTTCCTGTGAATATCCCCTAAAGTTTTTCTAAGTATGTTCTCTTTTACCCCAATAATACGTCAGCTCTTACTTGGAATGCCACACTTTTCACCTTTTCTCTTTCCTGTTCTTCCTCCCCTCTTTTGACAACTGACTCTTGTCGATTTACTTCACTTGGTTTCATTAGCATTTTTTGAATCATAGCCTCATATATGCATGTCATTCACTGTATCCATCACCTAAGACATCATCTTCTAGGACTGGGTTCACTAGTGATCACGTGTTCTGTAGACACAAAACACCTTTATGGGAGGGCAACCAGAATTGCTTTTATAGTTGTGATACTTTATATTAGGTTTTTTGCTCGTGGAAGCCTTTCCCAATATGAGGGGGAAAGGTATTCACATAAAATGAAGGCAATGGAGGGAAGAAAGTATCTCTTCCCTGTTCCATTTGCAACACGTACTATCTCAAACTTATTGTAAGGAGTCTCAAAGACCTTTTTGCTTTCCATTTTATGGTTTGGTTCTTTCTTTCATTGATAAGGTGATCAAAAATAGTTTCCAAATAGTCTGAGAGAGAGTGAAAGAGGCTTTCTAAGTCAAGCAGATAATGGCTGCAGTACCTTCAGAGATATAAATATTTTTTTACCGTATTTAGTAAAACACAAATAATCTACACAAAATTTAGAATCAGTTTTGCCTTTTATAATCAAGTATAAGAGAGAAGGAGATTTAAGAACCATTATTTCATTAGCTAAGAGGAAACTGAAACTGAGGACCCCAAAACATGAGCTAAGAGAGAAGGGTAGAAAGGTTTGACTTTGCTAAACTTCAGTAGTGGAAGGACAAAAAAGAAATGCGTGAAGAATCAGGTTATGTGCACATTGATGAACATAAAAGTTAGTGTTCATCTGAGACACTTAAAATGTCTTTATTAATGTTTAAAGTCTCCCCTTGGTTGTTATTTACCCCATATACTGATCTGTGGTGACCTGCAGTTAGAAATACTTAGAAAACATCAAACTAACCTGTGTACTTGCTTCAAGGTTATTAAAATTAAGGAGTAGCAGACATCCAGTGAGTCAATAAATATTTACTGATGACTTTGTGACAATCAATGTTCTAGGTGATTAATTGATGCAGAAAACAGGTAGAATCTCTACCTTATAATATGGAGCTTAAATTCTAGTGGAAGAAAGGGACAAAAGCGAACAGAGAGTCATATAAACAAATAAGATAAATGAATACAAGCAAGAGCTAATTTAGCATGGTCTTTATTGGGCTTGCATAGAGAGAGGGTGGTGGGGGTCAGAGGTGAGCTGGCATGGTGCAGATAAAGAGAATAAGGTTCTATAGTAAAAGATTGGAATGGACACCAATTCTTCCTTTCCCTTCACAGTGACTTATCATTTTACTCATGGCACAACTGAAAAAAGGCTGTCTGAACTACCAACATATCATTCAAGTCTAACCTGCTTCAGTGAGGGGACAATGGTGGCAGGTGAATCTTTATAATGCTTAACTAGACTTTTTCTCTAGTTGAATCATAGCCTCGTATATGCATGTCATTCATTTTTCTTCAGAAAAAGTCCCAGAGAGAAATCACGGTTAAGTTGAAGACTGTTGTGTTCTGGTGTGTGTGTGGGTGTATGTTGTTGTTGTGTGTGTGTATGTTTGTGTTTTATTAAAATCTCTGGAAATCTTCATGATACCTCTAAACTTACATGCTCATATCAGACTCGGTATGTGCCCGCAAAACAATTCCTTCTTCAGACGTTATAATGTCAACAAATACTATCAAACTACATGCAAATAATTTGCTTGAGACAACATTGAAAATTATTTATAGCAATTCTTACATTTTAAAAATTTTCCTTACCCTCTGTCAACTGCATAAAACTCTCTCTGATAATAATTCCCATCTCCACCCCAAGTGCCAGCTTTATTACTGATTAAACTGGCTAAGGATAAGACTTTCTAAAATATCCGTCTGGTAACTTCATATATAGGGAGTTGGAAAAGTTGAATTTAGAGTCATGATCTGCTTCCCACTATGTCTAGGGAAAAGCCAAGGAAAGCAAGGTGCATGTCTCTAGTGGTCTGTATGACCTTAATCCTTCCAAGTAAAGAAATGTAATCTAGACGTTTACTTTATCAGATTCTTGCTATTTAAGGAACTTATAAATTCACTTCTCTGCTTTTATGGAGAAACCTGTGAGAAGTGAAGAGAGGTCAGAAGCTTCTTTGTATTTTTACGAGATGCTGAAATTTTATCTTTTTTTGGTATTTGGCAAGAATAGGGTACTTGGGGATGCAAAGGATGGCTTCGCTACTCTTCCAGACCTACGGTTTTATTATCAAATTGTTCTTTGGTGAAACGATTTGGAGCTGACTCTTTTAGGGAGGAAACCATAATTCTATCAGGATAGTCTTCCTCCCATCTATGTGGAGCACTCCTGCAATAACAACTAACAAATACTAGATAATATTTTCCTAGAAGCAGCAATGGGCACTTTAGCTTTTGCTTTCAGAAAGCTTTGAAGTGGGACAAAGGTAGATAGTCATTAAATTAACTTTACATCCATCTTGCATAACACGCTGTTAATTTACAACCTAAGATTACAGCTAACCAGGCTGTTTAATATAACTAATTCAAGTTACAGATAAACTTGTATAAGAAATATAATTATTTTATATAATACAATATGAGCAAATGAAAGTGCTCAAATTTTAAAAACGTCTTTTCAAGTTATTGTTACAATGAAAAAATAAAAACTCAAACACAAAATTTTCATGGATTAAAGGCAAAAAATAATTGAAATCAGATTGTATCCTCTCCAAAATGTTTCAGTCAGTGTTGAAACATTCAGTTGCATAGTTAGATTTCTTCAATAGATCTGTACTCTGGCTAAACCAGTTTTATTTGAACTGTTCTGTTTGTCACCCCCCAAAAGATTTTGAAAAAGTATGATCCTCTTATACAATTTAATTTGATAGCTAAAATTTTTCATCATGCCAAAGAAGCAAGGGGTTTAATTTTTGAAACTTTGTAAATATTGAATTTAAAGAACAAAACTGTTATATCTCTTATAAAATTGTATCCACTTGTGTCTAAATACCATCATAAAGTGCTAACCCCCATCACTCACTTAAAAAAGGTAAACATGTATTATTAAACAGTTGTATGTTTTGTACCACCTTGGACTCATCTTTGCATCACGATTGCTCCATCTTCCAAGCTATGTAGATAAGTATGTTTAATATTTTAATTTCCTGTGGACATTAGGCTTTGAGTGTTATAAAATTTGTTCTGGATTGATTTAATGTTACCACTGTTATCAGAACACAATATTAAAAACACAAATTTATTATCAATTTTGATAAATCATTAGTAATAAAGTAGAACTCTATTGGAAGGCTATCTCTTAATAGATGAATAGGGATTTTAAAAATGTAATCACATGTAACCATAATTGAATACTACTATTGCTAGCTCGAGATAGATTTCAACATTAATTCTACTTCTGTTTTTCAACTTAGTGACACAAACTGAAAAATATTGCTCACCCAAATCTGCAGATTGGAATGAAAAGAACTGTGTTAGGATGTCACCCCATTTTTGGAATTCTTTCAGAACAATTTGTCTAAGATTATAGAATGATCTATTATCAGAAATTACTTGTGATAGTCTGCTGAGAATTTGATTAGGTTACCCTTCAATGTCATTGAAAGTAAACAATAAGAAATAAAATAATTAGCAAAAGATGTGTTATTTCTGCTAGTAGTCATTTGCTTTCTCAAAAGTAAACCAGAAACTCTTTTTAATAAGACTTATCAAATGGTTATTATTTATACCTGTTATTTTTTACACTTAAAGCAACTTGACAGTCTCCCACTTGCTGGGGGGAGGGGGGACAGACCTCATCAACAAGGGTACATGCATAATGAACATTTGTATACCTAACCCTGAATTGTACCCCACATCTTTAGAATTAAAAACTAAAAAAAGCACTGTGGTTAGCCCCTTATTCTCAGAATAAATTGGAAAAGTAAAATATTATTGTCAAGAAAAGTTTGTTGACTTTTATTTTCACTTAATATATAATAATATGACAATGTAAAAGAAGGAATAAAATAAAGCTGTGTAAAATAATGGATGAATCTTAGCAACGTAGAATGAAAAAATAAGACAAAGAAGAACATTTATATTATAATCACTTTAAGGACATTTAAAACTCAACAAAACTGAAAACATAGCACATACATGTATATGTGCTTAAATTATATGTAATCAAAATCATATTAATTATATGTGTAGGCTGGGCACGTTGGCTCACACCTATAATCTCTGTACTTTGGGAAGTAGGGGTAAGAGGATTGCCTGAGCCCAGGAGTTTGAAACGAACTTGGGAAACTTGGCAGGATCTGCTTCTTCAATAAATTAAAAAATTAGCCTAGCATGGTGGTGCATGCCTGTAGTTCTAGCTACTTGGAAGACTGTGGCGGAAGGATTGCCTAAGCCCATCAGGTCTAGGCTACAGTAGCCATGATAGTGCTACTGTACTTTAACCTGGGCAATAGAGTGAGACTCTGACTCAAAAAATTATGTGCATAATCAAAATGTATCAGTGAACTTATATCTGGCTAGCTACATATTTCTTTAATCCTTAGGAGAGTGGCAAACTGGTACTTATAAGGGTAAAGAAGGAACATTGATAATTAAAATTCTTAAGTGCTTGATACTGTGTGAAAATTAGTAATAGGTAACATTTGTTGAGCAACTATTCTATATTAAACACTTTTTAATATGCTTTACACATATTATGTAGTTAAATCCTCCATGAAGTTGACACTATTATTATTTCCATTTTAAAGATGCAATAATTGAGACTCAAGAAAGTTGTTAATTTGCTCAAAGATGTACATAATAAATGATAGACACAGAATTGTAATGAGTCATAAGTTTAATTTTCATAGCCAACTTGTGAACAGTTATTTTAAAAATCCAAGGCTCTGTGGCTTGCCCAAGATAATTGAGCAGAACTGGGTCTCCAGGTTCACCTGTGTTAGTCATTTAAAACTCTAAGAGGAATTGGATCTTGTAACATATAAAGGACATGAAACAACAGAGAAAAAACTCAAGAGTAATTTTCTTGCCAAAAAAAAAAAATGAAGAAAGAAAAACAAAAGCAGGAAATTCTGTAGGTATACCTTGGTAAATATTGAAAACCGAAAGAATGTTAATTTAAAATCAATTTCTAGGGCCCTGAATCATGTAATTCAAGGGACAGTAAAAGCTTGAATTAAGAAACTGTCTCTAGAAAACAACCATAGATCCTGGAGTTTTATGTATATGGAACTTACCTCATTCATCCTATCTGTCACATCTTGCAGTCACTCTTTTCTTTCCTGTAACACAGAGAAAGTCTGGGGATGTTGCCCAAGTACTTGGAAGTCGTTTGGTTCCAGCTGCTACTTCATTTCTACCGAAGTGGATGTCTGGGCGAAGAGTGAGCAGAAATGTGTTGAGATGGGGGCGCATTTGGCTGTGATCAACACAGAAATAGAGCAGGTACTTTTCAATTTCTGATTAATTTTTTAATTGTGGAATAAACACGTAGCATGAAATTTACTGTCTTAACCATTTTAAGTGTGCAGTTCTGTAGTGTTTATTCACAGTGTTGTACAACAGATCTCCAGAACTTTTTCATCTTGCAATAGTGGAACTCTCTACCCATTAAACAGCAACCACTCGTTTTCTCATCCTTTAAGGCCCTCACTGTCACTCTTCTACTTTCTATTTCTATGAGTTTGGGTATTTTAAATACCTCATATAAGTGAAATCATACAGTAGTGTGTGTGTGTGTGTGTGTATGTGTGTGTGAAAGACCTACTTCTCTTGGGGTTCATCCATGTTGTGGTATGTGACAAGACTTTCTTCAAATATTTTAAGGCTGAATAATATTCCACTGTAGACATATTCCACACTTTCTTTTTTTTTTTATTTGCTGTCTCATTTCCAGCTTTATTGAGATGTGATTGACAAACAAAAGTAGTATATATTTAAAGTATACAATGTGATGACTTGATATCTGAATATATTGTGAAATCCATTACCTCATATAGTTAGCCTTCTTTTTTGTGTGTGAGGAGAACGTTAAGATACCACATTTTCTTCCACTCACTTGTTGATTATCATTTAGGTGGCTTCTGTTTAGTGGTTACTGTGAATAGTGCTGCAATGAATATAGACGTGCAAATATCTCTTTTGAGATCTTGCTTTCAATATATTCGAATATATGCTCACAAGTGGGAATGCTGGGTCATCTGGTAATTCTATTTTTAATTTTTCTGAAAAAACCTTCATACTGTTTTTATAGTGACTGCACCATTTAACATTGCCACCAAGCTTGCACACATGGCTCTATTTCTTCACATTCTTGCCAACACTTGTTATTTTCTGTTTTGTTCTGTTTTGTTTTTGGATAGTGGCAACCCTAATGGGTGTGAAATGATATCTCATTGTGGTTTTGATTTGCATTCCTTGAATGATTAGTGATGTTGAGCATCTTTTTATATGCTTGCTGATCATTTGTATATCTTCTTTGGATAAATGTTTATTCAAGTCTTTTGCCCACTTTTAAAAAACTGGGTATTTCTTTTGTTGTTGAGTTGTAGATGTTCCTTATATAGTTTAGATATTAACCCCAATCAGATATATGATTTGTACATATATTTTTCCATTCCATGAGCTTCTTTTTTTCACTACTTGATTGTTTCCTTTGCTTTGCATAAGTTTTTTAGTTTGATGTAGTGCCATTCGTCTATTTTTGCTTTTGTTGCCTGTGATTTTGGTGTTGTATCAATACTTGCCAATATCAATATCATGAATCCTTTTGCTTATGTTTCTTCTAGGAGACTTACAGTTTTAGGTCTTCATTTAGGTTGTTAAAATTTTTGAGTTAATTTCTATATATGATATAAGGTAAGGGTCCAACTTTATTCTTTTGCATATGGATATCCAGTATTCCTATCTTCATTTGTTAGAGTTTACCCTCTCCCTATTGTAAGGTCTTGGTGCCTTGTCAAGGATCCTTTGACTATATATATGAAGGTTTATTTCTGGAATCCTTATTCTGTTACATTGGTCTATATGTCTGTCTTTATACCATCACCACAGTGTTTTGTTTACTGTCGCTTTGGAATACGTTTTTGAAACCAGGTAGTGTGAGGCATGCAACTTTGTTCTTTTTCAAGAATGTTTTGGCTATGAGGGGGTTTCTTGGGATTTCATATGAATTTTAGAATATTTTTTCTAGTTCTGCAAAAAATGGCATTGGGATTTTGATGGGGTCATGTTGAATCTGTAGATTGCTTTGAATAGCATGAAGATTTTAACTATATTAAGCCTACTAATCAATGAACACGAATGCCCTTCCATTCATCTGTGTCTTCTGTGGGTTCCTTCATCAATATTTTGTAGTTTTTATAGTACAAGTCTTTTGCCTCCTTGGTTAAGGTTATTCCTATTTTATTCTTTTTTGATGCTATTTAAATGGGATTATTTTCTTAATTTTCAGATTGTTAGTATATAGGAATGGTACTAATTTTTGTGTGTTGATTTTATATTCTACAACTTTGCTGAAGTTCTTTATTAGCTCACAGTTTCACTTTTTAAAATTTTTAGGGTTCTCCACATATAAGATCATGTCATCTGGGAACAGAGACAATTTTACTTTTTACCAATTTGGATGATTTTCTTTTCTTTTCTTACCAAGTTGCTCTTCTAGGACTTCTGGTACTATGCTGAAAAGAAGTGATGAGAATGAGTATTCTTGCCTTGTTCCAATCTTAGAGGAAAAGCTTTCAGTTTTTCACAATTGAGTAGGATGTTAGTGGTGAGCTTTTCATATGTGACCTTTATTGGCTGAGATACATTCCTTCCATTTCTTGTTCGCTGAGTGTTTTTTTTTTTTTTTTTTTAGGAAAGAATGCTAAATTTTGTCAAATGTTTTTTATGCTTCAGTTGAGATTATGTTGTTTTCGTCCTTAATTCTCTTAATGTGGTGCATTACATTGATTGATTTTAGTGTGTTGAACAATCCTTGAATTCCAGGAATAAATTATATTTGGGCATTGTGTATAATCCTTATAATATAATATTGGAATCAGTTTTGTAGTAGTCTGCTGAGAATTTTTATATTAATATTCATTAGGCATATCAATCTGCAGTTTCTTATAGTACCTTTTTGGCTTTGATATCAGAAAAATTCTGGCCTCATAAAAGGAGTTGAGAAGTTTCCCTCTTCTTCAATTTTTTGATAGTGTTTCAGGAGGATTGACGTTAATTATTCTTTAAATGTATGGTAGAATTCGCTAGTGACACCTTCTGATTCTGGGCTTCTCTTTCTTGGGAGATTTTTGATTTCCAATTAATTTCCTTACTAGATATTGATGTATTCAGATTTTTATTTCTTTATTTCTTTTTGTGTGTGTGTGTGTGTTGGAGTCTCACTCCGTCACCCAGACTGGAGTGCAGTAGCACGTTCCTGGCCACCGCAGCCTCAACCTGCTGGGCTCCAGCGATCCTTCCGCCTCGGCCTTCCAAGTGGCTAGAACTATAGGCGCGTGCTATCACGCCTGGCTTATTTTTGATTTATTGTAGAGATGAGGTCTCGCCAAGTTGCCCGGGCGGGTCTCGAACTCATGGGCTCAGTCAATCTACTCACCCTGGCCTCCCAAAGCACGGGATTACAGGCTGAGTCACCGCCCGGCTCAGATTTTTCTTTCTTTGTGATTCAATCTTTGTAAGTGATATGCTTCTAGGATTTTATCAATTTCTTCTAAATTATTTAATTTGTTGGCATATAATTGTTCACAGTAGTCTCTTATAACCCCTTTTACTTCTGAAACATCACTTGTAATACCCCCTGTGTCAACTCTCATTTTATTCATTTGAATATTTAGTTTTTATGAGTCTAAATAAGTTTTTGCAATGACTCCTAGTGTTATAGTGGTGTTGTCTATTTCTCTCTTCAGTTCTGTTAATGTTTGCTTTATGTATTTAGGTACTCTAATATTGGGTGCATATATATTTATAATTGTTATATTTTCCTTCTTTTTCTCTTCTGGAAGTTTTTTGAGTTAAATTCTATTTATCTGATATAAGAAAGTATGATCACCCATGCTTTCTTTGGTTAATATTTGCATGGAATATATTTTTCCATCTTTTCATGTTCAGCCTGGAGGAGCTTTAGCGCTAAAGTCCTGTATATATAAAGTAAATCCTGTATATAAATCTTGTATATAGTGTATAATTGGATCTTGGTTTTTTTTTTCTATCATTCAACCAATCTATGCCTTTTGATTGAGCAGCTTAATGCATTTATATTTAAAGTCATTATTAATAGATAAGGTCTTAATATGGCCATTTTGTTGATTTGTTTTGCATATTTTATATATTTTGTCTTGTTTTTCTTTCTTGTTGCTATCTTTTGTGTTTTGTTGATTTTTGGTAGTGGTATGTTTTGATTCCTTTCTCATTTCATTTTGTGTATCTTCTATAAGTGTTTCATTATGGGGATTGCATAAAGCATATTAAACATACTGAAATTGTGCATTTTAAGATAATAACAACTTAATTTCAACTGCATATTAACACCCTCTATTTCTTCAGATTTCCTTCCAGTCTCCAATTTATGTGATTGATGTCACAAATTATCTTTTTACAAGGTGTATTCATTAATACAGGCATTATAGTTATTTTAATACTTTTGTCTTTTTAAATTCTGTACAAGAATTAAATGATTTATGCACTAACATTGCAATATTACAAAATTTTGTATTGTGTATATTTACTTTTATCAGAAAGCATGCATATAGTTTCATGATCTGTCTGCTATCCTTTCATTTGAAGTTGAAGGACTCCCTTTAACATTTTTTTAAGGCAAGTCTAGTGGTGATTAATGCTCTTAACTTTTGCTTATCTTGGAAATTTTTAATTTCTTCTTCATTTTTGAATAAAAGCTTTCCAAAATACAGTTTCCTTGGTTGCCTGTTTCTTTTCTTTCAGTACTTTGACTATATCATCACAATCTCTTCTGGTTTGCAAAATTTCTCTGAAAAAATCTATTGATAATTACGGAAGCTCTCTTGTACATGATGAACACTTTTTTTTTTTTCTGGCTTCAATAGTTCTCTTTGTGACTTTGGACAGTTTAATTAAATGTGTCTCAGTATGAATCTCTTTGGATTTATCCTGGTTGGAATTGAGCTTCTTGAATTTTTTTTTTTTTTTTTTTTTGAGTTGGAGTCTCACTCTGTCGCCCAGAGTGCGGTGGTCCACCGCAGCCTCGACCTGCTGGGCTCCGGCGATCCTTCCGCCTCAGCCTTCCAAGTAGCCGGAATTACAGGCATGCGCTGCCACGCCCAGCTGATTTTTTGATTTATCGCAGAGATGAGGTCTCGCTGCCCAGGCGGGTCTCGAACCTGCGGGCTCAGGCAATCCACTCACCTCAGCTTCCCAAAGGCGTGGGATTACAGGCTGAGCCACTGAGCCCGGCTGCTTCTTGAATTTTTATGTCCAGTTCTCTCCTGAAATTTGGAAAGCTTTTGGCCAAGATTTCTTTAAATAGGTTATCTATCCTCTTTCTCTTTATTCTTTAGGATTCCTATGATGCCTATATTGGTCTGCTTGATGGTTTCCATAAGCCCTTCAGGTACTCTCCATTTTTCTGTATTCCTTTTTCCTTTTGCTTCTCTGATTCGATCATTTTAAATGACTTGTCTTAAAGTTCACAGATTCATTCGCTTGATTAAGTCTTCCGTTGTACCTCTCTTATGAATTTTCCAATTCATTCATTCTGGATTTTAAAAAAATAGTTTCTATCTGTTAATATGCTCATTTTGTTTGTGCATTCACTTTCCAAATATTGTTTAATAGTTCGTCTGTGTTTTCTTTTAACTCATTGAGATCTTTAAGTTTGTAATTTTACCTTTGTCAGTTTATTCATAAATCTATTTTTTTAAAAAGGACAATTTCTGGAGATTTATTTTGTTCCTGTTTCATTGTATTCCTTGAGATCTTTCGTTGAGATTTGAGCATTATAAGAACACCTCTTCCAGTGTTTATTGTCTGACTTCCTACAGGGGAAGACCTTCACCAATCAGCCTGACTATAGATTCTAGGAGTCTCTCAAATATGTTTTAGTGTTGCATCTTCTCAATATTTGTAATTGATTTTATAATTTTCAGATAAAATTCTTTACTTTGGCTTTTTTGGGTGAAATTGTAGTCTCTTGTTCTCCTTGCTGCCTGTTTGCAGTACCACAGTCTCTCTGAGGCTGTAACAAACTTCCTTTTTTTTTTTTCTTAGCAGCGACCAAGCATTCAAAATATGTTGTCTTTCATATCAGCCCTCTGAATTAGGTGAGACAGAAACAAATCTCTAAAGCAGCTCCCTGAAAAGCAAGAAAGTTGACACAATGCGTTACTCTTTTCTGTCCCTCCCATGACAAATGCTTAGATATGTTTTTCTTCCTCTATTGCTCTGTGCAGTGCTCAACAGATGGAGGATCTAAGGTGAATGCAGGCAACACAATTTCTTACCTGCTTGAATGCCAGTCTTCTTGGCTTTGCTCGTGCCTGTGGTACTGCAACCTTTTCACTATGTTCAGGAGTTCACAAAGGCAATTTGGTCCATATATTGTTGTTAAGTCAGTGTCTTCATGGGGGAACTAGCGCCTGGCTTTTCTTTTCTGTCATTTTGCTGGCATCAGCGAAGCAGGTACTTTTAAAGACAGGAATTAATGTCAGGGAGCATTTCTTACGTGTTTTGTAACACCTTTGGCTAAGCAGTACCCCTCCCCACTGGAATAATGGGTTAGGTCAGAGTTTTAGGGCAATACACAATAAATACTCTTTAAACCTTCAGGTTCAGTTCAAAATTAACTGCAGTTTACCTTATTAAAATTACCTATAGGAAAACAATCTGAATATATGTAAAGGTATTTTAGAAATCCAACTGGAAAGATGAGAGTAATTATTTTTTATATAACAAATAAAACCACAGTAGTTGAAATATAGTGAGCTCTCTTTTATATTTAATTTTTACAAGTAATTTACTACTTCCCAGAGAAGAAGTCATTAGAGGAGTGGAGAAACCAATTTGTGTTTTAAGAACCCAAATGCAATTTCACTGAAAGACAATCAGAAATTAACACAGAACACATTTTTATTAGTCAAGGTGCTCCAGAGAAACTATAAATTTGTGTCTGTGTGTATTTACATATATATATTCAAGTTACATATAATCTTTTCATAACATTATATATAATTTTATATATAACATTATATATATAATCTCTTTATGTATAAAGAGATTTATATGAGGAATTGGCTCACATGATTACGGAGGCTTAGAAGTCTCACAGTTTGCCATCTGCAAGCAGAAGACCCAGCAAAGCCAGTGGTATAATTCCATTTCAAGTCCAAAGGCCTGAAAACCAAGGGAGCTGATGCTGTAAATCCTAGTCCAAGGATAATAAAAGACTGATGTCTCAGCTCAAGCAAGCAGGCAGAAATTTTTTAAAAAGTGAGTTTCTCCTTCTTCTGCCTTTTGTTCTATTCAGACCCTCTTCAGTTGGGATGATACCCACCAAACACTAGAGACAGTAATTTCTTACTGAGCCCACCAATTCAAATGCCAATCTTATCTTTAAAACACCTACAGATACATCCAGAAATAATGTTTTAATCTGATCACCCCTTGACCCAGTCAGGTTGACACAAAGATGTTGTGATGATTACATCACAACATCTGACCACATAAAATAAAATAAAAAGATTGAAAACACAAATATGGATTTTTGTACACTTAAAAACAATTTTGTTTTTTGGTAAATAAAAGAATAAAATTCTATCTGAGATGTGTCTAGAATATATAACCTCTTTCCTTCCTGTGATGATACTGGCTTTTGGCCTGTACTCCTGGTTGGTATGTTATCATGTGACTTTTTTTTGCACCTTGTGTTTTCTTTGAAAGAATGGTTTTAAAGGTTATGAAGAAAACTTACTCTGCTCAATCTAGAAATTCCAAAGTCTATGACTTTTTCTTTTCTTTTTTCCATGCAGGATTTTATTGTCCAGCAGCTGAATGAATCATTTTCTTATTTTCTGGGGCTCTCAGATCCACAAGGCAATGGTAATTGGCAATGGATTGATAATACACCTTTTGAGAAAAATGCCAAGTGAGTACAGACCTAGATTAATAAACTATATGTCTTGTTTATATAAAACATTTAGAAAAATGTTGTTAGCAGTGCTATTAATGTTAACATTAATAATGATAATGATAACAGGATCTAACAATTATCAAGCCCTTATTACATGCATGTATTATCTCATTTAAATTCTATGTAAACATCTGATTTTCAGAACTGATTTTGCAGATGAAAAATTGAATGACTTGCTCTAAATCAATAAACTAATAAGATGATAATTTGTGTCTCAGTCCCATGTCCATCTGCTCCAGAGATGGTGCTTTTGACCGTTATATTTTACAACCTCTCAACACAAGATACTTAAATTCATCTCTAATTAGTAAGGTTTAAAATATCTGGGTCAGAACTATGTATAATTTTAGTAGGATAATTGCATGATAATACTATTCTTACTTACGGATTTTTTAAAGAAGAGTTTAAGTATATATTATCTTATTTGATTCTCCCACAATGACAAAGGACAGAGCTTATTAGTTATTTAGGAAACTTAAAATTTCTGTTTTTGTAGACGAAGAATCTACTACCAGGGGAGATTAAATCACTTGCTAAACATCAAAATGAACGAGTAGCAAAACCAGGTCTTTTAATTCTAAAAGTAATGTGCAACTTCTCACCTTTTCCCACAGCGTGTATTCATTGGAAGTAGAGTAACTTTACATCTAAACTTGGGCACTGTGTCACATATTCATGGCTTCATGAGAATAGAGAAACTTTGGAAGGTGTTAAGAGCCCAGATGTAAAGAGGTAGTCTCTTTATTAAATGTCAGTAAGAAAGGATTTGTGCAAGAATCTAGGTCAGGATAAGGACAACGTGAAGAGGAGGAAGTAAAGGTCAAATTGCAGGGGAAAGGTCTGAGAGTACACTCTCTCATAAAATTTTTGCCAGGAGAATGTCCGCGCAGCAAGTATAAAATTGTGTGTCCAGCCGGGCTCGGTGGCTCAGCCTGTAATCCCGCGCCTTTGGGAGGCTGAGGTGAGTGAATTGCCTGAGCCCGCGGGTTCGAGACCCGCCTGGGCAGTGAGACCTCATCTCTACAATAAATCAAAAAATCAGCTGGGCATGGTAGCGCATACCTGTAATTCCGGCTACTCGGAAGGCTGAGGCGGAAGGATCGCCGGAGCCCAGCAGGCCGAGGATGCGGTGGCCGGGAGCGGCCACTGCACTCCAGTCTGGACGACAGAGTGAGACTCCAACTCAAAAAAAAAAAAAAAAAAAAAAAAATTGTGTGTCCATATTTGAGGATTTTGAGGAAGGCAGTATGGGGGGGCAATCATTGGAATGTTGTCCCCTTCTGAACCCCATTCTGTTCAACCCCAAACCTATATACTTTCTAATCAGTCACTGTGCATTCTTTGAAAACTGATTTTACCCTTTATTTCCCTTTAGATTCTGGCACCCAGGAGAGCCCAACTTTGCTCCAGAGCAGTGTGCTTCATTAGTTTTCTGGAAACCTACAGGATGGGCTGGGAATGACGTTTTCTGTGAAACTAAAAGAAATTCAATATGTGAGATGAAGAAGATTTATCTATGATTAGAACTTTATTTACTGACACATTTAAAATTGGGACCTATCATAAAATGATAATTTCTTCTTGTAATTTACATATAATCCTTGTATTCTAGAGGTTCGTGAAAATATTCAGATACTTTTCTCCCTTTAATAATTCTTCTAGTTTTTTTTTTTCTACTAATGGTAGAATGAGCTCTTCTCTTTGTTCGATTCTTTCATTTGCTGTCCTTTTTTCTTTCATTTCTTTATACTTTGCTCCACAACAATTCTTGTTCCGGGAACTGTACTATTTTGTCTGCCAGAAGATTTATAAGGCAGTATCTTTTGAAAATTATGTATTTCTGATCTCAAAATGCTATAAAAAATCCCTTTGATCATTTGGTCCATGTGGTAGTCATTTGGTCTACATGGTAGTCAACATACAATCATCTGAAATTCTGACAAGATCTGAAGAATGTACTTTCCACATGGCTCACTCACATGACTGGTAACTTGGTGTTGGCTGTTGCTAAGATACTTCAGTTCCCAACCACATGGAACTCCCTGTAGGGGTAATCGAACCTCCTCACATTATGATGGCCAGTTGCCACTGGAGCCAGTTATTCAAGAGCAAAAGTGACAGCAGTAATACCAATACCTTTAATGATCTAGCTTCATCAGTTACATATCATAATTTTTGCTTCACTCCATTAGTCACAAAGGCCAAACCTGATATAATAAAGAAGAGGACTGCCCAAAGGCCTGAATACCATAAGATGAGAATCACTGAGAGCCATCTTGGAAGCTGGTTATCACATCAGGATTTCTTTAAATAGATAGAAAAATTGTGTACCAAGAAATAAAATAATTAAAAATTCTTCTACACTAAAATTAAGGATTTCTGTTCATCAAAATGCTGCAAAGAAAATGAAAAAAAATGAACTGCATGGTTATATTTCAAACACGTATGATTGACAGAGTGTTAATACCAACAATCTATGAACAACTGCCACAAATCAATTAGAAGAACACAAAAATGAGCAAAATATGGGAACAAGAACTTTATAGATGAGGAAATACAGGCAAGAAACATGTTTTTATAGAGATATTCGGCTTCATGCCTAATTTGAGAATTGCAAGTCAGAACCATAATAGTATATTATTTATGCCCTTATTAATGGCAAAAAATAAGGAACAGATAATACCAAGAGTTGGAGGAAATATTTATCAGTGGGATCTCTTTTATGCATTGCTAGTTTGAGTTTAACTTGGTACAACTGCTTTGGAAAGTACATAAATACAAATTTTTCCTATATGAATATCATACAACAAATGCCATATTGAGAGAGATTTAAGAGCTGTGAAATGTGGGTATTAAAATGAAGAGATGTTCTAAAATTCTAGTTTTTATGTTGAGCAGTAAAGGTGATATAATAGATATCAAACATAACAAAATAAAATGAAACAAGGGTGTTTCATAATCTAAAATTATGATTAACGTGATATTGTACAAAGTCCAAATATGAAAAATAATCAATTGGATACTAGATTAATGAGAGTTGAAAGTTCTTGAGTGATACTTTGTGTCCAAGATCACATTGAACTAGCTGTGCTCCTGGGATCCATAAGCTGTTGACTCCATGCCACCATCATCAGAATTGTCTCTTGTACACCCACGTGAAGCTGGTGTCTGGACACTGGATACTCAGGCTAGCCACTACAAGTGCATCTGGAAATTCACAGTGTATGACCTTGATTATCAGCAGAAACACCAGCAGAAAATTAGTTTCTTCTTTGTTTATACTTTCCAAATTTCATGCTATCGAATTTAATTGATGGCTCCAAAATTGCATCAATAACATAGTTGGAAAAGAGTCTGGAAAATGCTTAGTACACAGCTCTTCAGGCTTTGAAGCACTAATAGACACAATGGAGTTGGAAATGGGTGTAAGTGTTGATTGACTAGATCCGGCATGGCTGCATTATACATTTTTAAAGTACATTGTTATATTTGACTTAAACATCTCTCTCCTTTAGTGAGATAGCTCATAGTTTTCTTTTTGATGTTATCCTAATTTGGAATCTGTTTATGCTATCTTCATAAAATGAGTCAGAATGGTTTTCTTCTATTCTCTGCATAGTTTGGTTAAATTTACCTCGGACATAGGTTTTCTTAGAAGTTTGGTTAAATTTACCTGTGAAATTGCTCCTTCTTTAAGACTACTGCTTTGATCACATTTTCCTTTTCTTCTATGATTAGAGATTCTAACTTTTTTATTATAAAGATGTGGGGTATAATTCAGGGTTAGGTATACAAACATTGATTATTCAGGTACCCTTGTGGATGAGGTAAGCCCCTCTCTCCCCTAGCTATTTCCCTCAACTGCCAATCCCACCCCCCTCCCCTGACAGTTTCTCACTACTGCCAATCCCTTTCTTATAGTATTATAATTGTTCAAGGCCCGCTTATGAGTGAGAACATATGGTACTCTGTTCTTTGTTTGTGGGATAGATCACTGAGTATGATCGATTCTAAATTCATCCAAGTTGCTGCAAAGTCCAAGATTCAAAAACTTAGTCAGTTTTAGTACTTTTTATTTGTAGAAAATCATCTATTTCATATTAGTTTCTAGTTTGTTGGATTAAACTGTGCATCACGTATGTATATAATTTTAACCTAGACTTACGTCTGCGGAATGTGTAGTATTTTTATTTCTAATTACTTTTGCATGTGTCTTCCTTCTTTTAACTTGACCAAGCTTGTCAAAGTTATGTAAATGTTCTTAAAAAAAAAATCAGCTTTCCTGATCAAATATACATATTTTATTAATGGCTGCTTTTGCTATTAATTCTTTTTCTAGATTTATTTTTTTCTAGATTCTTAAAAATAAAAGGATATAAACTAATCCATTGATTTTTTTGGTCTTTTTTTGTTTAATAATAAAACAGGCTGGGTGTGCTGGCTCAAGCCCGTAATACCAGTACTTTGGGAGGCTGAGGTGAGGGGATTGCTTGAGCCCATGGGTTTGAGAACAGCCTGGGCAACCTGGTGAAACCTCATCTCTACAATAAATAAAAAAATTAGCTGGGTGTGGTAGCTTGCGCTGCCTGTAGTTCTGGCTACTTGGAAGGCTGAGGTGAAAGGATTGTCAGAGCCCAGCAGGTTGTCACTGGGGTGGCCAAGAGTGTGCACTGTACTCCAGCCAGCCTGGGTGATGAAGTGAGACTCTGACTCAAAAATAAAACAATAAAAACCAAAAAAACCCCAAAAAACAACAAAACAAAAAAACCCAAAAAACAAAAACCCACAACCCATTAAAAGGTATGCTTTTACTTTGGATAACATTTTGTCTAAACTCAACAGGTTTTAAAATGTAATAATCTCATTATTTTTCATTTCTACATAGTGGTAATTATGAGGAGTATTTCTTTTTTAGTCCAGGAGTTATTTTCATGAGAATGCATAATTTTTGGCTATCATTTTGAAGATCTCTCTCTTTTTTTTTTTTTTGAGTTGGATTTTCACTCCGGCTGATTTTTTTATTTTATTGTAGAGATGAGGTCTCGCCTGCCCAGGCGGGTCTTGAACCCTCAGGCTCAGGCAATCCACTCACCTCAGCCTCCCAAAGGAGCGGGATTACAGGCTGAGCCACCGAGCCCGGCTTGAAGATCTCTTTTTATATTTTGTTTAAAGAATGTCACATATGCATTCTATAATATTTTTAATAGTTTATTGTATTTTCTTTGTGGCCTTGGATTAGTCCAGACAAAAAAACTAAACTGTGTTAGAAAATCAGAGAGGAAAATATTTAGGCTTACTTAAGTCTATTTCTTTCTGGTTTATTACACAATAAGGAAATCAATAGTGCAGTGAATAATCCTCCTGTGTAGTGGAGAATATTCACATGGGTAATATGTAACCTCACATTCTGAGTCTTTACTTAGGGGGCATAACCTCATACATCTTTCCCAAACTTTCTTGATGTCAGTTCTCTAACCTTCTTCCTTCCAAGTCCCTGAACATTCGGCCAAGCCATCAGGCACAGACTGAACTGATGTTGATCCATATCTCAAACCATCCTTTCTTCTAGGCAAAGTGAACCATCAGATGTACAGTTTGAAGTTATTTCCAGTGGAGAATTTTCATTTTTCACAGACCTTCATGGTTATTCTGAGTAGAGCTATAAACTTCAGCTGGTACCAAAATAATAAGCATAGCTTGCTGTAAACAAAGCTTATTATTATTTACTCCTTCTGAGACAACTAGTCATAAAGAGGTCATAAGTGGGGATTTAGGGAGAGGTGGAATGATGGCAGAAGAAAACACACGGGATTGTGAGTCATTGTCTCATAAAACCAATTTATGTGTAATCCCATTAAAATGCGTATTTGTTTTGATGTGTCAGATAACAGTTTATGATGGTATTCAATGGCCAGGTATTCTGTCTCTACTAGGGCCTTATATTAGATCAAGAACTAATTTGTTTTTTGGTTTTTTTTTTGAGTTGGAGTCTGTCGCCCAGGCTGGAGAGCAGTGACACGTTCCTGGCCACCGCAGCCTCGACCTACTGGGCTCCTGTCATCCTTCCGTCTCAGACATCCAAGTAGCTGGAACTACAGGCGCATGCTACCATGCCTGGCTAATTTTTTTTTTAATTGTAGAGATGAGGTCTCACCAATTTGCCCAGGCTGGTCTCGAACCCTCGGGCTTAGGCAATCCACTCGCCTCGGCCTCCTAAACTGCTAGGATTATAGGCTGAGCCACCGAGCCCGGCCTATTTATTTTTATTTTTTAATAAACTGGTTGCTTATTTTATTTAATTTTTAACTTTTTTATTTTAAATTTGTGGGGTACAATTCAGGGTGAGGTATATAAATTTTCATTGTGCAGGTGCCCTTGTTGATGAGGTGTGCCCCCTCTTCCCCAGGCAGTTTCCCACTACTGCCAATCCCACCTCCCCAGGTCCCCCGCAGTTCCCCTGCTACTGTCGTCATTTCTTTTCTTATGGTATTACCATAGTTGTTCAAGGTCCTTCTTAATT